TGTGTGTTTACATGTGTGTTTATGTGTGTGTTTACCTGTGTGTTTACGTGTGTGTTTACGTGTGTGTTTACATGTGTGTTTACGTGTGTGTTTACATGTGTGTTTACATGTGTGCAGATCAAAGGGACTTTTCTCACCACGTACAGTGAAGCAGTGATGAACTATAACGGACGAGACGACAGGAGTCTGGCTGTGGACAGTGTCCAACGTAGAGTCAGTGTCTGTCTTCACCTTCAGATTATTGGTTGTCTGACTCTGGTCCCTCAGGTGTTCAGGGGTTCCACACGGATCAGTACTCGGACAACTTCTCTTTGTTTTAGTTTATAAACTTGTGTTTGTTCTGTAGATCTTTCGATACGCTGATGATCATCAAGTAAAACTGTTGTGTACTTACCGTGTGTGTGTGTGTGTGTGTGTGTGTGTGTGTGTGTGTGTGTGTAGTTACACTGCTGTGGAGTTTACAACTACACCACCTGGTTCAGCAGCGTCTATTTTCCTGTCAGTGGGATTCCTGCCAGCTGCTGCGTTAGTTTCTCCGACTGCAGTGGAGACGACCTGAAGAACACAACGCTGGCCTCACGAAAAGTCTACAAACAGGTCAGACACACACACACACACACTTTATCATGGTCCTCTGTAGCTTCTCTTACATCACATCTATATAATTTTATTGATATTTCTATCTTTTTTATGGCTTTAATAGTTTTGGATTTTTTTAAACTTACATCTGAGGAAGTTTAATGAATTTTTCTCTTTAAATTTGTGTCAATGTTTGAATCTTCTGAACTCAGACGTTCACTGGTTCATTACAATGGTGACTGTGAATGAATGAATGTGTGTGTGCAGGGTTGTTATGAGCTGGTGACGTCGTTCATCGAGAGCAACATGGGAATCATCGCTGGAGTCACGTTCGGAGTCGCCTTCTCTCAGGTGATTGACACGAGAATCAAATCAAGAAGAAACGTTAAGAAATGAATCCAAGTTAAAAACCCAATGTTGTTCAATAAAAGATTTGAATTCATAAAGTTTGAAACAGGACGACCGAGTTTAGATCCCAAAACCTTCATGGACCATTGATCAGATATTGACATTTGTTCAGTACTGATGTAAATTACTATTTGAAATGACGTCTCTGTGTGTGTGTGTGTGTGTGTGTGTGTGTGTGTGACTTTCTGTGTGTGTGTGTGTGTGTGTGCAGTTGCTCGGAGTGTCTCTGGCCTGTTGTCTTTCTCGCTTCATCAACGCCAACCAGTACGAGATGGTTTAACAGGTGAAACACACACACACACACACACACACACACACACACACACACACACTCCGCCTGTCGTTCTTCACCTTCGTCTGACTCCTCCCTTCTTTCTTTTCCAGGGAAACGACCAGGATGCTCGTCACCATGGAGACCTGAGGAAACACACACACCCCTTCCTGGAAGCTGATTGGTCGTCTGTTGCCCTTTGTGTGATGTGGACGTTCAGGTGGAGCAATGATCAATAATCAATATTAACTTTAGCGTGAAGTCATGGTGCCACCGGGGGGCGCCAACCTGAACCCTGTCCTGTCGCTTTGATCCAGAACAACAATGAACTGTGAAGTCGTCATTTCCTGTGTCATAGTTTTTGTCCTTGAGGGGCCCGATGTTCACCTGGACCCCTGAAAACATTTCCACAGCCCTGCTGCTTTATTTTTCATTTTATTTGACTTTTATTTACATTTGATTAACTCTTTTTCTTTTTCTTTATATTTATCCACATTTTATCGATGTGGTTATTTCTCTGTTGTGAAATAAAAAGTAATGTGATGATGGAACTTTGTGAAACGACAGAAAATAAACACGAAAACAAAGGGATGAAACTTTTATCTTTCTAATTTGC